GGCAGACCGCCCCCCACGCCCCGCGCCCGGGCCGGGGCCAAGCGCGCACCCTCTGCTTTACCACCCTGGTGGCTGACGGCCACTCTGGGGCGGTTTGGGCCCTGTGACCCAGGCCAGGACGACAGCGGCTGTAAGCCCGGTGACTTCTGTCGCTCAGCGAGGGTGAGGGTGTGAGGACAGCTGGCTCTCTGCCCCGAGAGTGGAAAATACCGCTGTCAGTCACCCCTCACTGCGCCGAGTGGGCAGAGGGCAGCCTGCCAGCCCTGTTGGAGAAAACACGGGGTGCGGCCGGGCAGGTGCACAACGCCTCAGCCGAGGCGGAGCAGAGGCCTGGCCAGATGTGCAAGGGGCAAGGGGCTGTGACACCGACCGCCCCCCAACAGGCAAAAGCCGGGGTGTCAAGCTTCCCAGATGTGGGCGAAAGCCGGCAAACCCCTCACCCGCATAACTGAGAAAGGTGTGCTCCGGTACCCGGGCGCCTCCAGCACCCCCACACCCTGCCGGCTCCTGTGCTCCCCGCAGGGCAGTGAGGGGGCAGGCGCTCCCAACATATCCCAGGGGTCAGGAAGCGGATAACCCGCGGCCTGCAACCTGCAGGGGGCGCGTCACCGGCACCTCTCAGGGCGGCTCCCAAACATGGCTCCTGTGTCTGTGGCCGCTGGATGCTCCCACCTGAGACCACGATTAGCAGAAGAAGCAGGGTCCTTGCCACCTGGGAACCCCGTGGTCCTCACACCCCCTGCCAGGGACTCGGTTTAGGGGAGCCCACACCCCATGGCTGATAAGCAGTAACAGAGAAACCCCAAATCCGCGGACGTGGCCTCCACGCCATCATCACGGGCCCCAAAGAAGCCACCTTCTTTGAAAAGGAAGCCTTAAAGCCCGATTCTGAGCCACAGTGTCCCGGAGTGAGGCGGACATCCAGTCATTTCCACCGACACATGTTTTTATTAGTTAACTTCCTGTAACGCTCACTATTAAAATCCTCCAATGAAGTGAGAGTTTGTAAAATCCGAGCACAAGTCAGTGAGGGGAACTCGGGGGTCACATGCTAAGCTCTGCGGGGAAAGGGCTGCCAGGCAGGCGCTTGGGCCGCACCGGGGAGGGCGAGGCCCCAGATGCAGCCAGAAGCTGCACACAGACCTGCCCCCCCCCCCCACCCCCGACCCCCCTGTGCCAGAGCACAGCGCTCCTCACACCTGCCGTGGGGAGCCAGGACCACCCTCCCCACCCGCAAGGCAGGTCCCCGAAATCAGCCTGCCCTGGGGCACCCCTTCTAGAGAGCCTCCCTGGCCCATCGCCCTGCCCACAGGCAGGCTCCGCTTTTTTTAATAATTCTTATTCTGTTTTTTTATAAGTGTCATCTAAACCCAAGGCTGGTACCTGGAGGAGACGTTCTCTGCCCTTGCTGGGACCCAGAAACCCCATGAGATGCTCCCACTTATAACTCCTTTTTTTGTATCCCTAATTGTAGCAAAACCGTCACTGGCACCCAGGAGGGGCCCAGCCAGGCCGTCCAGACCTGTTCCGGGGTCACAGCTGGTCCGAGAAGGTGGTGCCCTCCCCCTGCAGCTGACAGGGCGGCAGGTCTGGCAGGACCCAGCAGCTCTGGGCCACACCCTGTGGACAAGACACCCCATCCCGGCCTCCCTCCCACTGGCCCCCCGCCCCATCCCAGCATGTTCTCTCCCCGCAGATAACGGCTGCTGGCACCCACAGGAGAGACGCCCCAACACCGGCCTCCATGCACCTCCCCTGAGTTCACACAAAGCAG